TTCGACTCTGCTCCTTATAAAAGATGTCCCAGAGTGCTCTCTGGCTCTCCTTCTGCCATATGAAGAACAGGGAGAAAAAACCGTTGATTGTGAATCACAAATTGAGCTCTTACCCAACATTTACAACTACCTGCATGCGGCTCTTGGACTTTTAGCCTCCAGCACTGTGAGAAATAAATTTCTGTTACTTGTGGTATCCAAATGGAGTAAAGAAAAAAAACAGAAAAAAGAAAGGAGAGTTGGTTCTGTTCCCCCAGGCAACCGCTTTGTGCTCGCTGAGTGGCAGAAAGTAAGCGGTGTGAATTTGAGTGAATCTACAGGTCACAGGAAGCTGTCAGTCAGCCTGCTGGGGGCCCTCTGTGTGGAGGAAACCCCCCAAGAAGCACCCAGCCCACGTGTTCTCTCCAGCCCAGCCTCACTTCCCCTGTCAGCACAGCCCTGGTCTATTCTCAAAAGATTCTTTCCATCCTACATGGTCACACACACTCCTGCAGGCACGGGCGCCCGGCCCACCCTGGGGACAGTTGATCATGGTGGAAAACCCACAGCCTCACCTCTGTGCGTAGCAGGCTGTGGAATACAGGGGCACACCACTCTTCCCCCTTAACATGGTGGGCTTGCAGATGGGAAATCAGGCTTCCTGGCAAAGGGACCCAGGAGATGTGGGTGACAGCATTCTGGGTCTCCAGGTGTTGAGTTGAATGTGGCTCCATGAACAAAGGAAGGGAGGGAAGGACCTACAGACATACAGCTTGGGTGTTTCTCAGGGCTTGTTAAGGAAGAGGACACACACTGGTTGTCTTAATAGGCTTTTAGGAAAGAACAAAGCCATGAATAGAATGTGAAAGAGTCTACATGGGGGGTGGAGGGGGGGTTGGGGGGTGGTGGAAAGGATATAGAGGCACAGAGACACAAGGACAGTGGCTCCAAGATGCAGCTATCTCCTGATGGGATTCTCAGAACTGAGCAGGGGAGTCCTGCGGAGGGCATCATCTCTGAGATCAGAACAGAACAGCGCGGCTGGGTGTGTGGCTGGCACAAAAAGCCCTAGTGAAACGATGCTGCCGGAGCAGAGCCACACTGAGGTGCTGGCCCTGCCAGCACAAGAGGAGCCTGTGCTGGAGGAGGACACTTCCAGTCTCCCTTTGAACAGCCAGGTGCACACCCAGGGGCTGCTGTGCATGATGGCTGAAGTCACTGGTCACAGACTGGCCACTGTCCCCTTTATATGTGCATGCACACGGACACTCACCACCATATCCCGACACAACTCCTTAGGCACAGAACCCAAGCAGCAGTGTTAGAAATAGCGCTGGATGTTGGGGTATCACATAGGAAGAGCGACACTAACTCACAGGGAACTCGGCAAGGCAAAGCTTACTTCTGCAAAAGGGTCCACCATCAGCCAAATTTCTAGCAAACAAGCACTCAGAGCAGGAAGGCTGCTCCCTTTTTAGCCCTACCCCAGGCAGGCCCCGCCCCTCTGCTCGCATTGGCTGAGCTCAGGTTCACCATCAGCAAAATTCAGGGGGCTTTTCACAGGATGTCTTCATTAAAGTGCTCAGAAACAGGATGTATGTAACTAAAATGTAATTAACAAGGGCAAGCCACCTGTCCAAAGGAGGAACCCTTCAAAAAAAAAATGCTCTCATGAAGTCACAGAAAAGAAGCAAAGTATGATGGAAAAGATGCTTTTCTCACATAAACAGGTGCCTGACCACTTGGAGCAGACAGAGGGATGAGCCTGAAGCCAGGCCACAGGTCCTGTCTCCCTTGGTCTCTATGGTCTTACCAGAACCACAGTACTGATTCCATTGTCTAGCTGGTCCTGATAACGGTGAAGTTGAGAACGCAACTGAGAAGGCCACCAGGAGAGGGACTGTACTTCAAGTCCATTACTCTTGGTGAGCATGCTCAGGCTAGAGGAAGGGCTGGCTTCTTGGAGAGTGTACCAGACCAGCCTGGCATGTTTTACCGTGCTGGTAAATGTGAAAGTGTCCCACACAAATCAAAGCCAGCACGAGAAGCTGTGCCTGAAGAACCCAGGAAGTTCCTGAAAGAACTGTAAAGCCAAAGCAGGAAAATTTTGAGCAACAAAATAACGTCCAATAGGATAATAATCCAAATGAGATTAAAATGATTTTTTAAACTCTACAGTCCTTAGTAACCTAAACGAAGAAGTATGAGAGAATAGACTGATCTCCCATGCAGAAAAATTGCAAATAGGGGCTGGGAAGGTGGCTCAGTGGTAGAATGCTAGCCTTGAGCTGAAGAGCTGAGGGACAGCGCCCAGGCCCAGAGTTCAGGCCTCATGACCGGACCCCCCCCAAAAAAAAATAATAATAAGAAAAATGGCAAATAGTTTGCATACTTCTGCTATCCACCAAGAAGAATCTCCACTCCTTCAACCTGAGCTATTCACAGTACCTTCCCTCTACAGAGTACAATATGGAAAGGGATTAACTAAACAAACAAAAAGTATCTTAACACTGGAGAAAGACAAATTCTTCACAGACAGGAAATCAAATTTAATGTCATTATTGACAAATCATATTGACATGATGTCATTACCAAGGCACCTTACCTCCGCTTTTCATTCCCAAACCTGTAATTGCAATCCAGTAATGAGAATTAAAAGCATTCAGACATAGCCTGGGGGCTGGTTGCTTACATCTATAACCCTAACTACTTAATTGGCTGAGATCTGAGGATAGTGGTTCAAAGCCAACCCAGGCAAGGAAACCCATGAGACTTATCTCCAATTAACCACCAAAAAGCCAGAAGCAGAGCTATGGCTCAAGTGGTAGAACACTAGCCTTGAGCACAAATGCTCAGGGACATCACTCAGGCCCTGAGTTCAAGACTGGTACACACACACACACACACAAATTCAGGAAAGTTATGAGACACTACATAGAAGGCCAGACAATACTCCTGCAAACTAAGTCACCAAAAACAAAGAGTAAGTGACAAACTGTTTCAGCCTATATGATCCTAAAGTGACAAGGGGACTAAATGTCCAATGGGGTTCTAGACAGGAGCCAAGAACAGTGGGTACTAGAGGAATGTAATAAAAGCAAGGACTCAGTAGGTAACAGTTTATTGGTTTATTAAGAGTAACAAATGTACTGTACTGATGGTAGTAACAGACAAAAGGGGCCAGGCACAGGCTCAAGCCTGTAATTATAGCTACTTGGGAGACGGAGAGCAGGTGATCACCGCTCGAAGCTGATTTGGGCAAAGAAAAACTCATGAGACTCCAACTCAACCAATAGCAGGGCACACTGGTATAGGCCTGGCATCCCCAGTGACACGGGGAAGCACAAGGAGGAATTCCACTGCCCCAGGCAGTTGCTCATACCTGTAATCCTAGCTACTCAAGAGGATGAGATCTGAGACTTGCAGTTCAAAGCCAACTTGGACAGGAAAGCCATGAGACTCATAACCAAAACAAGCCAGACGTGAAGCTGTGACTCAACTAATAGAGCACTAAGCCTTGAGCAAAATGCTCAGAGACAGTGCCCCAAGATTAACACCCCCCCAAAAAAATGCTGAAAGGAACTAGAGGCAAGGCTTAAGTGGTAGAGTACCTGTCTAGCAAGTGCAAACCCCAGGAGTGGCAAAAACAAATAGTAATAGACAAAACGGGTACAAGGAGTATGGGAAATTCAGAACTACCTTTACAACTTTATGAAAATGCAAATCTCTTCTGAAAATCAAGTGTGTTGTGGGAAAGTGTGGGAAGTGTTTTGTTCCACTATGCTCACGAAGGAGTGGACGTGGAAAGGGTTCCTGTAATATCTGACACGGGGACATCCCCTTCAGCCTCAGTTCCCCAGGGGACACCATGGCTCTGCCACCATTAAGCCCTAACAGTTCATCAGTGTAGAAAGCAGATGGTACATGAGTGAAACCGTGAGTTAGGGAGAGACTGATGTAGCCAACCCAAGCTGTGCTTTCACATACAGATGAGGAAGATCAGGTCCAAAGGCCTGAAATCAACGGCCTGTACAGGCTTTAGCTCTGCCCCCACTGGTAGAGCATCTGAAGCCTTGAAGAGTCACAGGCAATGAATGATGTCACCTTGTCCTAAGAAAAAGCCATTTTGCAGAGAAGGAAAAGAGGCTCGGAACAACCAAGTGCCTTCACCCAGATACGAGGCGGACAAGCGATAGAGGGTCATCTCCAGGCCCCACTGGCCTGGACAGCAAGCTTATTCCAGCTCCTTAGAAACCTGGAACTGAGAAGAATAAAAGGCAAAAGGTAAGACCTGGACAGAGCTGGAATCTGCCCCAGGGGAATGATGGTAAAAGCTGTAACAGGATAGAAGTAGCCAAATGAGTGGCACTTAAACCAACTGAGTAACTGGTCTTCTTATGGGCCTTAACCTTAAAAAATAAAAAAAAATAAAAAGAATTTAAAATTATGCAAAATCCCAGAGCACCAACTGCTCAACTTGATGAGAATCATACAGTCCATAGGAAGAATCCTTTTCTCTCTCTCTCTTCCCCCCACCCCTCTCAGTGCTAGTACAGGGGCTTGAGCTCAGGGTCTAGGCTCCATTCCTTAGCTCTTTTGGGTAAGATTGGTCTCTACCACTTGAGTCTCAGCTCCATTTCTGGCTTTTCACTGATTAACTGGAGAGAGGAGTCTCATGGACTTTCCTGCCTGGGCTGGATTCAAACCACACTCCTTAGTTCTCAGCCTCAAGTCAGGATTACAGGTGTGAGCCACTAGCATCCAACCTTCCTTTCTTCTCTTGAGAGCAGTTCTTAACTACTCCATGTCCTTGCAGGCTGTCAAGAGTAAATGAGAGTGTGCACTCAAAGCTTGGAGTCCCTGAGGAACAGTCTGGGCTAGTATCATTTCTACCATCCCTACTGGTAGTACCAGTGGCCCGATCTTCACATCATCATGATGACTACTAGTACCACCCCAACTACTACCACTGACACTATTCTGTCACAGACAGTAGGACATTTGTGGTACCCAGGACTCACCTGTGTCTCCCAATGTGATGCTTCAATGAATGTGTCAACTTGACGAGTCCCCCAGAAGCACAGACAGCTAGTTAGGCAGTGCTTCTAGGTGGTGAGATTGTAATGGGAATCAGTAGACCTAGGAAAGCAGATCACCCTTGCTAAGTTTAATCATCAGGTAGTCCTTTGAGGATCAGGATTGACAGGTAAGTAGAAAACAGTGAAAGTTCGAACAGGATGAATTTGATCTTACCTGGCTGCTTGAGCTGGGGCAACCTTCTTGGTCTTCTTGTCTTCAGCTTCAGACTGGAATGGTTATCTATGCCAGTACCCCTCCAGCTCTCTGACCTTCTAGCTACACCACTAGTTACCCTGGTCTCCAGTTGGAGACAGAAGATCAGACTTCACAGCCTCTCACACTATATAAGCCAAAGCCGTAGAAGACCCTCCCCATATAGGTACAGCTATGGAAAGATACATATTTTTTATATATGCACTTATATAGGTACAGACAGACATAGGTATGTATCCATCTTCATCTTCCATTGCTTTGGCTTCTCTGAGGACAGAGGTGACAAGTATATTTTAAAGTCTTTAAAGATGGAAATCATTTAACCATTCAGCATCATGCTTACAGCAGGAAGATAGAAAAACAGGAAGGAAGGGAAATACTATGTTCTAACCATCAACAGGGAGGAGAATGCACTGAAAGCCAAGGAGATCCAAAGCAGCCTTTTGAGTGACTAGATTTACAAGCATAAGCCACTGGCGGTCATCTCCATTTTCACTTTCTAGGTCAATATCATGTCCAGAAAAATCAAGTAAGTCAAGAAAATGGTTCCTATACATGCCCTTTGTGCATTTCATGATGCCAGCCAAAGAACACTGAGAACATTCCTGGAAATCATGACCCAACCAGAGAGAAGAGCTGGTGTTAGGAAAAGAATCACAAAGCTTACTGAGGAGATTCTGAGCACTGAGGATTCACAGCCTGACCTTGGCCCTAATGATAGCTGTAATAACGAAGACCATTAAGCTATGATGGCTGTTCCTCTGGGCAGTCAGCTGTTGGATAAGCTGGACTAAGGCCCAGAAACACTGTTTTTCTCTGCAGAGAACCTGACCACTGCTCCCTCCTCTACAGAGCCCTCAAGGAACATCACTGAGGAAGCTCCTGAGTGTGGGTGTCACCGTGCATGGTGGGGGACAGATTCTATGAAAAAATAAAATAAAATTAGGCACATTTTCCTCCAGACTCACTAACCCCATCCTCTGCATATATGCCTTCATGTTTTGACATTAATTGAACTGTCTTTACTGCTAAAAATAAATTCGAGGTCAAATATAATGCATCAAAAAACCTCAATACAAAACCACAAGAAATAGTAGTAGCGGGCCAACACCAGATGTGATTTGAAAAGATGTTTGTTCTGTTTCCAGTCTAGGGTTCCAAGTGGGCTAATCATTCTTACTACTGTCAACATTGAAGAAATACAGGAAGCAACCTTTACCTGTACCTGTGAAGAAGTACAGGAAGCAACCTGTACCCTGTGGCTAAAGACCAGGGCTGCTGCAGGAATCTACAGACCAGAGAAGGCAGGGCTCTCTGATGCTCTCTTACCAGTGCCAAACAAGGCCAGTGTGTGAATAACAGGCAGGGATTCAAAAGAAGCAACCAGGGCAGGTGAGGTCAGGAGCCCAAATGGCCCAGGGAAGGGTCAAAAGAGAAGAGTCAACTGTCATCATTTGTTTTCTGTAGTTGATGCAGAATCTCTGAAAGAAATCTCTGTGAAAAAAAGAGGTTCTAGAGACTAAAAAGTCCAAGATTTGGGCAACTGAACCTGGTTAGCTCTGGTGACAGCCTCAGGGAAGGACAAATAGATTCATGTGGAGGAAAGAAAAGGGACCAGACTCTCAGTATCTACTTCACACACACACACACACACACACACACACACACACACAGAGCCGGGCGCTGGTGGCTCATGCCTGTAATCACAGCCTCAGGGAAGGACAAATAGATCCATGTGGAGGAGAGAAAAGGGACCAGACTCTCTCAGTATCTACTTCACACACACACACACACACACACACAGCCGGGCGCTGGTGGCTCATGCCTGTAATCTTAGCAACTCAAGAGGTTGACATCTGAGGATCATCTCAGGAGGCTGACATCTGAGGATCATCTTTAGAACCCAGCTTGGGCAGGAAAGTCTGTGAGGCTCTCATCTCCAATTAACCAGCAGAAAGCTGGAGGTAGAGTTATGGCTCAAGTGGTAGAGTGTTAACCTTGAGCAAAAAAGCTCAGGGACAGCACTTAGTCCCTGAGTTCATACTCTAGTACTGGCACCAAAAGAGAGAAAGGAGAATTGTGAGTACACTGGAGGACAGAACTCTGACGGACAATGAAGCTTCCTAACTGCTCATCAGCAGCTCAGCTCTGGGGAGATTTACTCACAAACATCCTTCAAGAGGCACAGGAGGCAGCACCCTGTCCAGCAAGCATCCTGCAGAGAGAGCAGAGCCCTCCTCATCCCCCCAAGTGCAGTCAGCCACATCCACAAAGGCTGTACCTGTCAATTCAACCAACTGCGGATGAAAAAGAGGAAAGAAAGAGCTGCATGGAGACTCAACATGAGCACCCTGCTTGCTTGCCATTATCCCCTGAACAATTACAGCAGAACTATTTGCAGAGCATTTATATTGCGGGAGGTATTCCAAGTGAGCTAGAGATGATTTAAAGTATACAGAAGAAGGTGTGATGTGCATAGATTATATGCTAATCATATTCTATTCTGAATAAGGCAAGCATTCTTAGACTGGGGTATCTTTGAACCAGTTCCCCAAGAAACTGAAAAATGGCTGTTCCAAATAGGTCTGGAATACCGTAGGTGTGTACCTGTGCCCCTCACCTCAATGCAGGGCAAGGCCTCACACACTCCATCTCCCAGTGTCATGGGAAGGCTGAGCACCCAGCAACTGAGAAAAACAAGCATGTGACACAAAAGAAGACAAAAGGATGGCATGGGTAGGGAGAACAGTACTGTGCAATTCCCTGCACCGGCCACACAGTGCCGACTGCTGAGCACCCAGCTTCCTCCTCACCCTCTTCCCATCCAACAGAATTGTCCAATCTGTGGCAGCCATCATGCATGTCAGTTTCCATGTCATCATGGTATTTATTCTTGCTAGCATCTTGTTAAAGAATAATTGTCACTAATCTCATGCATTCCTCTGAACCTTTCAAAACTTTGATCTTCTTGTGCATTCTCTCTCTCTCTCTCTCTCTCTCTCTCTCTCTCTCTCTCTCTCTCTCTCTCTCTCTCTCACTCTCACTCTCCTCAAACCATCCCTCAGGCAGATTTGGGCATAGGTAAAAGGCTGGGGAAACAGTATACCCAAGACTTTGGAACGGCCTGGGAACACAAAAGGAACATTAAATAGAGTCACTAAAGCACATTTTAAAAATTAATAAAGAATACCACTCCTGCTACTCATAATCGTAGCTACTCAGGAAGCTGAGATCTGAGGATCAGAGTTTGAAGCCAGACTGGGCAGGAAAATCCATGAGACTTTTTTTTTTGTCCTGGGGCTTAAACTCTGAATCTGGGCACTGTCCCTGAGCTTTTTTGTTCAAGGCAAATGCTCTTCCACTTGAGCCACTTTTATTAGTAGTATATTCGTGATAAGAGTCTTAACAGACATTTCTGCTTGGGCTAGCTTCAAACCATGATCTTCAGATCTCAGACTCCTGAGTAGCTAAAATTATAAGGCATGAGCCACCAATGCCCAACTCCTGAAATGGAGCTGTAGCTCAATTGGTAGAGCACAAGTTTTGAACAAAAGAGCTCAGGGACAGAGCCTAAGCCCTGAGTTCAAGCCCTAGGATTGGCACACCCCCACTCCTAAAGAAAGAAAACAACAAGAACACCCCTTTTTCTGTGTGGGAGCACTTCCTGTGCCAGGCTGGGCTACCTGTGAAGCTCTGTCTTTGCTATATCTCATTCATCCCCAGAGCATCTCAGGCCACTGGGCACCACCAGTAAGGTCCTAGTCTGCAAATGCAGAACCTGAGTCTTAGTGAGGCTGAGCTGTTTGTCCCAGTGAAGGAACAGGAAAGCCTTATGTCTGCCAGAAGCCCTTGGTCTTCTCCTCTCAGCCCCTACCCCTGGGCAGCTCAGGTTTGTGCAGCTGGAATACGAGATGGAGGCAGAGGAGGAAATGCTGAATGGGTTGGGCTGGGAGGAAGAGTTCACAATCTGGGTGCCCTAAAGGTGTTCTGACCTGATTACAGAACCCTCCCTCCCTCCCCCACCCTGTTTCTTCCCCTCCTTCCCCCAATGTGGTCTCCACATATCACAGCAAGGAAGCAGGACAGGCATGGTGGGATTCATCTAAGAGCGCCAGAACAGGGTGGGTGTGGGCCTGGTGGACCCAGCACAGCACAGAGCCAGGCCATGGGGAAGGGAAGGGGCAGCTACTGGAAGCCAGCCTGCTGAGCAGTTTGTAGGAAGGCAGGAAGACGCATGGAGAATTCAAGAACCACACCTCAAGTGGTGTTGCAGATACTATCTATCTCAAAAGCTATTTTTGCTCCCACAAAGCTCAGAAGAACACCCCTTACCTCACGTCAGTTCTCCAGATACCCCAGCGTTCATTCAGGGAAGGATGTCCTAGATTTGCTTCTGGAGGGCTTACAACACTTTTTTGTTTTTGCAGGTTGTAAGTATGGAAATCCCAGGTGTAACAGGATTCTAGAAATACACAAGGAAAGAAGGAGTTATCAGCATCAGTGTGCACTTCGGGTGGACTTGGTAATGAGATGTTTCACTCATTTGAAAACTACAAGCTGCACATTTACGGTACGCCAAATGACAGTCACCAGGAAAGCATTTATGTGCTACTGTTACGTGCCAAGCCTTGTCTTAGGCATTTTATTCTTGGAAGATCAGCTTTGACGCCCATTTTAGGCGTCATGCAAGAAATCAGACCAGAACTGATGCTCCAGTCCTCCTCACTCCTAGGAACCTGTTCATTTTCCCTACTGGAGTTTTGGGTTTGGATTTTTTTGTTATTTTTGTTTTCTCATTCTTGTGTCCATTCTTTGTTATACTTCATTACTTTATTCTGAAAAATGCCCTGTCTTGAACACACAACCTGTCATGTGGATCATGGGGATTGTGTGGACCACAGAAGCAACATCAGCTTACCCTTGATATAACTTTTATCTATGCCAATGCTATCATCTAGGGCGTGTGACACATGGCCATGATGAATTGCTCAGGGAACCAAGAAAAAAAAAGTGACCCCATGAGAGATTCTTATCTTAACTGATAGTGAAGCAGCTGGCTACATGAGGTAGCCAAGGGGTTGGGATGATGTGAGGATCGAGGGTGTATGGGCAGACACCTGGATATTTCACTGTGGAGAGAACATCCAAGCTTCTCCCAGGCCTGAGGCCCAGCCTGATGATCTCAGACACATGCATCCTGTTGCCCTCCAAGTGGATGGTGATGAATCTACCAGGGCATCTAGAGAAAGTTAAGTTCTTCCACTCACGCTTCATGGATTATGGGGTGCCCCTCCCCACAGACCGACCTCCCTCCCTGCTTCCTCCCTCACAGCCCCCAGCAGATGAGCAGGCAAATCACTCATGACAGAGCAAAGGGAACGAGTTCCCAGCTCTGGGAACAGCTTGTCAAATATCCTTGCCTCAGAGCTGGGAAGAGAGCGCAGGTAGCTTGCCCTCCCCACCACAAATTTCACCTTCTGGGAACAACACGGCTATAATTTGCTTGTCTGGGGCCCTCTGGGTATCCCCTCCTCAGAAAGTCCTGCCAACCAGCAGTGCATTCAGTGGCCATCCTGTCCTCTTCCCAGCAGGCAGCCATCCTGGGCCACTGATACCAGGAAAGCATGCTTTTGCTGTCTTGTCAAAATTCAGTTGCTTGTTACCCCCTTCCCCGCCCGGCTTCCTGGCTGGTGGTGGTCTCTTATCAGAAACCCTGGGGCCCCATGAGCTCTGCCTGTGCCAGGAGCCTCATCAAGTTCCTTTAGTCTCTGAAGCTCTGTTTCTTATTTCAAGGCTGCGCTCTGTAGGTTAAGTGAGCATCTTAGCAGAGTTTTGCACTAAAAGCACCTAGAAATGTCAGCCACTAAGGAATACCTCTTAAGCAAATGCTTGAGCCTTAACTTCTTAGTCACCTCCTAATAGAACATAAAAGGTCTTCCCTCTTCTTATCTCACTACAAGGGCTTACTCAGAACAGGGGACCAGCAGTGGGGAGAAGTGAGTACATGAAGACCATGGGACTGCAGTACTGCGCAGGTCCACGGCCCTCCAGCTCCGGGTCTGCTAGGGCTCTCACTTGTCAGTTTTCTCATCTGTAAAATGGGCTGGACTGCCATACCTTCATCTCGCCAGGTTGCTGCAGAATGCTACTGTGTAAAGGAAGAGCTCAGTCATGTCCTGGAGCAATGGGATTCACGGTGACCACTGTCACATTTGTCAGCACATTCTGTAGAGGCTCTTTCTCTGAGGGTGGCCCCTCTAGCGAGGAAGCGTCCACAGCACAGTGGCCCCGCTCCGAGGTCCAGACAAGTGCAGCCATCATTCCTATCTTATAGAAACGACACTTGGATGGGCTAAGGAGGCAGTCAGACAGCCACCAATCAATACATGACATAGTGACTGGTTTGCAGACTGGCTACTAGTTTTTCTGCTAAGGCAGAGTAGTTGGAGGAATAATAACTGAACTCTGGCATCTACAGAAAAAAAGGGAGGGAGGGAGGGAGGGAGGGAGAGAAGGAAGGAAGGAAGGAAGGAAGGAAGGAAGGAAGGAAGGAAGGAAGGAAGGAAGGAAGGAAGGAAGGAAGGAAGGAAGTCTTCCAAGGCAGTTGAGCTCATTTTGATTTTGATTTTTTTTTTTTTTTGCTTGT